CACCTTTTGAGTGACCTAGCTAAAAGATTAGTTATAGAAAACACAAAAAACATGTCTTTCTTGTCTCTCCAGAAATGTATTAATCTTAAGCAGTGAACAAAACCTCAGTCTCCTCCTTTAAAATGACTCATGGTCAATCAAGCCTCATGTCAACAGAGAGAATAAGCACAGCATTTCCTTATTAAGAAGCTCCTTCACATTGTATGAGAGGTTATGAACGAGAAAAACATTCTGAACATAATTCAGTAACAACTCTCAACAAACATGGTAACAGTAAAGCATGCAAACCAACAAACAATCATTGGGGCACATGGGCTGCCACAAATCTCACTCAGTTTAGTCCAAGTTCAGACATCACGCCACTCATGATCCGAAAGTTCCTGAATCAAGGTGATGACTCGAGGGTTCACATTAAGGCGGGATGTGGTTGTCTTCTCCACTTTGGTGCCCTTCTCTGGGTTGATGGAGAAAAAACATCTGGAAATATGAGAAAAACATAAACTTTATTATTAGGTTTCTTTTTTTCAGACAAAGAAAGTAGGAGAAGTTCTTTTACCTTACATATTTTGACTGACAACTTCAATCTTCCTCAGAGGCGTCAGCTGATTGCTGTGACGTGTCTTTATGTGGTGTTAATCTGACAGATTGACCACGCCCCCCGCTGGTCTTTTTTTTTAAATCAAAGACCGTTTTAATATCAGAAGAAAGGAACATCAGAAGGATTGTGAAAGGGCAACAGCAGGACGACTCACAAGAACAGAAAAACACAAGGCAGAACAGGAAAATCTCACGTCGGCAATATCAGACCACTGCAAGCGACACAACCACATCATGGACTGGGACAACACAAGAATCATCACATCAGAAAACAATAAACACAAACGTTTCATCAAGGAGGCCATTGAGATCAGAAGACGGGGGAACACAACCATGAACCGGGATGAAGGAGCATTCATGCTGTCCACACCTGGGACTCTCTCTTGCAAAGACCAATGGGCGGCAGGGGGCGTGGTCAATCAATCTGACAGAACTGACAGGTCTGTCAGATTGACCACGCCCATGAGGAACACCACATAAAGACAGGTCACAGCAACGACACCTCTGAGGAAGACTGAAGTTCAGTTGAAACATGTAAGGTAAAAGAACATCTCCTACTTTCTTTGTCTGAAAAAAGAAACCTAAGAATAATATTCGGAGTAGACAAAATGAACTTGCTAGAAGTATTAAACAGAAACTTTATTAATAATAAAAAAGCTTAATTCAAAGCACAGCTTTTGAAAGCTATTATTTAAAGGCTGTTGCCTTGTAAAACAGTAAAAAATGACAAGTCCTATGAACCCCATATACCAGTGACATTAGATTTATGTCAGCTCAAATAAATTAAAATGGTGCATAAAGTCAATCAATAGGACATACCTCTGCAGAAACTCCAGGGTTGAAGCCAGCGCCGATGGATAGTGGATGTTAAAGCAGTAATAACTTCCAAACAGCAAGCACAGGACAGTAACGAAGGAAGGGATGTTGTCATGCACGATGTTTCGATCCACACTCAGCATGAACCGCGTTGATGAAAAGCAAGATCGTCCTAAACACAACAACAAAAACAACATTTTAGAAAAAGTTTAAACAACACTTACATTCCAAACATTTTAGAAAAATGTATTCGCTTCTCAACCTTAAAGGTTAGTTAAGTCATAATATTTTATGTTCCAATAGGGAAGAAAATAGTTATACGACTTGCTTAAGACCACAATCAGCAACATTGTGCAACAAGAATTTATGTACAAATATACTGGAAAGAGAAGACATGTTAAATGCAAAAGAGATAATACAAGAATGAAAAGGAAGCAGGAAATGACTTACCACACACAACAATGGTGGGGGTCAAGGGCATCTGATCCATCTGTACCTCCACTGCCAGGCTAGTGTCCTCCA